ACAATCTTCTGATTCCATCAACACACAATATCATATCCGGAAAGGCGGCTTATCCTTCCATGGTTTACCTGAATGTTTCCGATCAACAAGGTGAAGAGTAATAATCCGCTAAGGACCATAATTATGCTGAAAATTACTTCGAGCCAGTTGCTTGTGGGTGCAAGATCATTCCCTAATGTGCTGGAAAAGGCGATACTCAATACAGAATCAGTTTTTGTCAAAAGGTTCTCAGGTTATCTTAAACTCTGAAACCAAGCAATTACCTGAGAGTCATTAGGCCCCAGAAGATAGGGTAAAGGATCTTAACCGCAAGAGAGTTGCTGGAAATGACAGGAAGTGCCGAGCCGTAGATTCCATATTGGAATGGTCCGTCAGGATCTAAGCACATAGGGCTCTGGACGACACTGGTAAGGTTCCCAGATAAGCATGGATATCCAACTGTGCTCGTCGGTGACACAAATTGGTAGCAAACCTCTTCTTTGCAAGACAGGCTCAGATTGCAGTTCCCGTTGCTCATGCATTGCTGCCTAATGCAAGAAGCAACACGCTGTATTGAAAGAACATACCAGCATCCCCCAGCAACCTGCACACACCAAGATTTCCATGAAAAAAAAAACGACTTTAATATCATTTCTTGGCTTAGAAATATTGTTGCAGCAGATTTTATTCAGCTTGAGGGGACTTACATGAGAGGCGATGAAATATGCGATGAGATTAAGAGCAAAACCCCACCAAATGGTCCCGAAAATGTAACCAGTGACCTTTTGCATTTTTCTCATCAAGCAGATGCAGTGATAAATCTTTGGGAGGAACTGGAACGAGAAGATTAGCAGAAGGATTGTCATTATGAGCTTAACCTTCTCTTCTCTTATGAGCTTCGGCACGACTAACCAAAACACAGCCTGCAAACAAAGAAACACACAAAGTTCATGTCATGAGGTCTTTATTGATGCTAATGAGAAGTGTAGAGTTTTTTTTTTTTTTTTTTTTTTTTTTTTTTTTTTTTTTTTTTTTTGGAATAGTTTGAAGGTTGTTTTTGAAAATTCAAACCTGAGGGACAGGGAGGATGACGATAACATCGAACCAGAAGCCAGTGAGGGAGCGTGCGTAGTGAGACGCGATGGCGCGTGGATCCCAGACGAGCTTCCCGCAGCCAACGACGAGGGACTCTCTCGAGATGTAAGCCAGTCTGAATTGAAGCCAGACGTGCCACAGGTGAACAGCGTCGAGGCACGTTCGGAGCACCGTGATCACCGCCGCGAACGCACCGTCCATGTAAAGACACGCCGGTCCGGTGGTTCGGCCGATGGAGAGCGCGTAGAAGAAGAGCGGATCCACCGCTAGAGCCATCCCGCGAGCTAGGAGCAACGCGCGGTTCCATCTCTGCACGCGCTTGCTCCTGGGATCGAGAACTTCGCCGAACGGACCCTGGAGACGTCTGAATCGGGCTCGGACCGGGTTGGCGACGGATCCTTCCTGGATTGGGACTAAGGAAGAGCCGGCGGAAGCACGCCACTCCGGCGCGTGAGCTTGATCGCAGCTTGTTGAGTGAAAAGCTGGAACGCCTGCCTGTGTGCAAGCGTAACACTCGACGGAGCTCAGCACCGGCGTATCATCGCTGCCGCTGCTCGAATCTCCACCGTTGTTTTGGACGGTGCTGCTTTCATCGATTCCAGTCGTTTGTCGACGGAACTTCTCGGAAAACAGTCCAATCCACCTGAAATTTAAGTTGTAAACACTAATCAATTAGCAGGCAAAAAATCGATCTACTGCAAAAGTCACTCGGAATCATCTCACATTTGAAAAAAAATTTCGTTTCAGAAAAACGTTTGAGCTTACCCCAAACTCCAAAGACAAAAATTATAAGGAATTGCATGTGGGCTCTAAAGCTATAGAAAAGTTCGGAAAACGATGAAATTCTCCGGGAAAGCTGTTTCTCGGGAAAAAAACTCTACTGTCAAAGATTGATTGTCACCGTTGAGTAAGCATACAAAAACAAAAAAAAACAAAACACATTTTCGAAATTCGCGACTGGCTTTGGCGGATTACCGCCATTACTGAGAAAATATATCGCATAGATATGAAATGGAATTGTATATATACCTGAAGAGGAAGTTGGAGTGAGAGGGCATGATCGAAATAGAGGAACCACCATGGGAGGGAGAGAAGAATTGCAGGGGGAGATTGGTGAGAGAGATTGTATAAGCAAAGGCGGAGTGTGATACGTATATGTCTATAATAGGATTCGGTTTATTGTTGGGGAGACTCCGGTACAATACCTAAACCGAAATTTAACCTAAATCAGAACCGGGCATGACGTGGAGAGATGAGCTGTCTCAAGTGAGAGAGAGAGATGTGGTCAGTAAAGAGCGACGGCTTTAGCAACGGCCCACAATAGACACTCAACAAATTAGATTCCGTACAGACCATGAGGATTACAACGTTAGGGGCCCAAAGTGGACCCATTTCCATTATTATCAAAGTTAATTCCTTTTGTTAAATCATTCAAAATTTAGATAACCTTAACAAAATTACTTGCTATAAGACAAAATTATGTCTCTTTTTTTTTAAGATATTGCAGTGCGTGTGTAAATGTAAGATTAGAGACTATAATGTATGTATGTTTTCACACACATTAGTAAAAAGCTAATAAGAATTGGCAGATTTGACGTAACAATGAAAAAAACGAGGGTAAAGATATTATTAAACTATACAAATTACAATAAACTATTTCATTTCAGATACAATAATCAAACACATTGACGTACTTAGGTAAAACACATCTGTGATATGTCCATTATGATATACGTAAACATGTTATTTTTGTTTTTAAAAACACGTATTATTTTAGGTAAGCAAAACAAAACATATTATTGTATTAATTTTGTTATAGACATAACCATGTAATATCATTGTTTGTATATCTCGATCTTTTTTTATTCAACCAAAAACAAACGATTCAACTGGGTTCGATATAAACGTGTGTGGTCCGTTGATGTTTGGTCGTGACTTGAATTATAAATGTATGATTGTATGGTATGGATGGATATGCATGACTGTTCTGTAAGATTGTGGAAAACTTCGCTGTCAGTGGCAGATACGTTACTCATACCACCACAAAGATCCATTTAGTATAATATTTTTCTTGAAAATCGAAAAAATGAGAGTTGCTGCCAAAAAATCTATTATAGTAATAACTCGAATACCCATCTGTAATCAACAAAAGCCTATTTACGATATTAGGTTTCGTCGTATGTCTCTGTTGTTGTCATTATAATCATCGCAAGTTTATTATTTCACAGTTTATATATAAAGTGTTGCCATATATATGGACTGTAGTCTGTAGAACACTTGATTTCATTGTATTCTTCTTTCATAGTAACGTACTATTTCTATCTTTTCTCTCGACTGTAGCTTCTAAGGTTTTTCTTAACCAGAGAACATAACTTTCATAGTACAGATACAAGCCATAGTAAATATATTATTTAACAGACGAATCACCATGAGCTCTTGTCGGAATTCTATATCTTACAAGTGCATAGATTTCTGTCGACATATAGCAAAAATTTATATAAGCCAATAAGATAAAATATAAACAATACTATCTTTCTTGAAAATGGCGAAAATGTGGAGTATAGTTTAATGTACTTTTCGAGCATAGTGAAAAGGACAAAAAAACCATGTGCGCCAATTCTGTCTTCTTTCGTGCATGTATCGGAAAACCAGGCGAAGCAGAAAAAGTTTAGGGACGAAAGTGGCATAAAACGGCAAATAAAACGTGACATTATTTGATTCGATAGCATCTGGTTGGTTCACATTCCTTCGATAGACTCAATTCCAATAAGGTATGGAAGTTGAAATACCGAATTTAACCTTAGAGATTGGAGACTTGAACACCAGAACACGACATTTCTTTTGGTTTTGAGTTGGACACGCCAAGAAATACCAATGTTTTTTCTATAACCAAAAACTGTTTTGATATTATTATTGTTTGGGAATTGTCAAACACCATACCCAATATAAACTGATATTTTTTTGGGTGGGAGATTTGAGTTTCGCAATTTGTTTGTTTTGGCTTGAGTTTATTTTTGATACGATAAGTTTTCTTTAAGTATATAAAGAGAATCAAATATTTTATTTGGTTCGGTTTTAAACATCAGTAAACTAACTCATAGTGGGATCTGTTTCTTAGTCTAATCAGGCAGGCACTGCATGCTAAGGTCTTTTCGTATATGCAAAAGAATAATTTGTTTTCTGATTATTTAAAGTTTGTTTCGAAGAGATGTATTTATCACAAGTTGGTCCCCGCCCGGCATAATGAAACTCCAAAGGTTTCTAAAAATAAAAAACGAATATTCCATTTTTTAAAAAGTTGAGTCAACGCAACTCATTTTTAAGGTTAAAAATAAACCCCATTCATGCCTAGTTGGCAGATCTACGTCGAAGGGCCACGCAAGCCTAATAAATCCGGCCCATTACATAGGTGGTCACACACACCACAAAGTCCACGTGTGGACAGATCTAAACTCACTTACACACGTGTCAGATGAATTTTATTTAATTTACTATTTTTTTGTTCCCTCGTCGAAAAGTTGCAACAAAACGAAAAACCTCTCCGAAGAAATCTGCGCAAAATGCGGAGAGAACGAGAAAATTCATCCAGCAATCCCCAAATCGAAACGCAAAAACGAAGGAAACAGATTTCTCCTCTCTTTGGTATGAAACAGAAACCTCAGAGAAACGATGGATTTCGTCTTTTACATCCTGACAACTCTCCGCAAATGAAAAAGGTGAGATTTTTAACAGACCCTTTTTGTCCTTAAAGGCGTAAAACAGATATGATATGCATTCAGCTGCAAACGATTAGATATTCACAATGTCTCTTGAATAATTAGATTCTTGTTTCATTGGTTTGATTAATGATCAACGTCTTGGTAAATAGCTAAGATTGCATATGATGTTTCAGGTGGAGGATCTTCTCTAGCCTTTGATTTTCTCGAATGGTTGAGGAGAGCCTACGTTTGCCTGATTCACCGAATGTAAACAGATCATGGAAAAGGATTTCCACTGGAAAGCTGAGTTTTTTATACAGCGAAGAGAAAATCCTTCCTAACTATCTGAGATCCCCAACTGCTTCTTGTCACGATGCTTGCAAATACGGAAACAAACATGAATCTGAAGACAAGCCAAGAGTTTCTTCACCTCTCAAAAGAAGGGTTAACAAAAGCTTTGATTCAACACCACTGAGGAAGAAGGCACTGACCAATTCTGTGTTGAATCCTTCTTATGGTTATGGCAAATATGATTTTGGCGGTGGCTCTGATCATGAGAAACGCCAAGTTATAAACTTTTCTGACAGAGCTTGTGATGTTGAGAATGTGACTGCAGAGGGAACAACAAAGATAAAGGAAGCATCTTTCTCAGATTCGACTAAGCGAAAGAAGAAGAAGAAAAAGGCAGTTTCACATATTGATGTGTCAAGGAGAAGAGCGTTAGAGATGGTTGAGCATAACAAGCGTGTCACTGCTTTGAAGCTGAAATCTGTTGCACAAACCGCAGCTATTGCTCTTCGGCGAAGTACTGTTACTGTGAATAGGAAGAAGATCAATGTCGGATCTAAAGCTGCAGAGCCAAAGAAAGTAGCTGTGCCTTTAAGAGCCTCAGTGTCCTCAAAACGTTGTTCCCGAAGCTTGAGGACAAAGAAGGAGAGTCAAGGCTTGAGCAGTGTTCCTCTGAGGAGAACTCGGAAACTTGTGGATGAGAAGTGTAAAGACTTGGTTGAAGAGAAGACTCTCTATGTTATTAAGATGAAAACAGGGAATGAGACTGTTCAATCTGATCAGAACCAAAGATGTGTCATGGATTTGCCTAGTGATGATCCGTCCTCATCATCACAACTAAAGAGCCAAGACGAAGCTGAGGATATTGTGACTGGTGAGCCAGAGACTGAAGCTGATGATGAATCTTCCGAAGAAGAGGATGATAATGTCTCATTCTCTGAAGACAAGGACAGAACAAGACAAGGAAAGAGCAAAGAGTCGATGAAACTGAGATTGAAAAGAGGAAAGATTGTAGATTCTGGATCACAAGGAAACAGTCCAAGAAAGCTCAAATTCAAGAGAGGAAAAGTTGTCACAGGAGCTGACACAACCCCAAGATCCGGTGGTCGGAGAAGCTTAAAGACCAACTTGAGCAACGACAAGGAACAGCAAGACAAATCCAGTGAGTTGAAAGTTGTTCTGAAACACCAAGACACAGAGAAGAAGAGAGATTCAGGAGTGTTGTTGTTCAACAATGTGATTGAGGAAACAGCTAATAAGCTTGTGGAGACTCGCAAGAGCAAAGTTAAGGCTTTAGTGGGTGCTTTTGAGTCTGTCATCTCTCTCCAAGATAAGAATTCTTCTGCAACTGCTTAAAACATTCAAATGATTGATCTTTCTCTAAACAAACTCTAACTAAGATTCCTTTTTTCTTGTCACTTGTGTTTATGTATGTATATGTAAACATATGCAGATGTATAAGAGTGTATTGACTCACATAAGATTCTATAATATGAGAGAGTTGTTAACTTATTATGTCTAATCGAATTTCTATTAGAAAAAAAATTGTGATTGGATACGTAAAAAACAAAACTATGGTTACAATCTGTGAGTTACATAAAAACCAGGGGCTGAAAAAGAAATATAAAACCAGACCCCACGCCATGCCGTCCTTTAAATGCCATTGACTAGCTAGATTCTTTAGCCAACGTGTCTTATTTGTATTGGACAATATTTGTTTACCTCTTTCACAGGCTGTCACTCTACCATTCCTGGACTTAATTTAATTTTCCATCTTCTGCTACATGGAGTAAACAAAATTAAAGCTTTGAGATTTCTCTCCTTATCGATTTTCTTCTTTCCGCGAACTTTTCGTTGATTTCATCTGCTACTGATATTTCATCTTGTTTTTCTCATCTTACTCCTGGAATCTGAGTTTCGTGTCGGAGTTTTCGAGGTTCCCCATTCGTTGCTCCCATCGAAAATCTCTTCTTCTTCTTTTGTTTACTTTGCATTTCTTTGCTTTGAACCTTTAAATGCCCTAATTTTCAGGTGCTAGCTGTGGTTTCTGGGATTAGGAGCAGAAGCCCTTTCTAGTAAACTTCATGTTAGTAGCAATTCGTCGAAGCACTCACAGTTTTATATTGGTAAAGTTCTTCCCTTTACTCTTTTTAAGATCTTCATTTTTTGTGTTCTGGTTTGTGCTCATATTTGGGGACTAGAAATGAGTCATCATAAGAAGATTTAGAGTATGGATTCACTGGATTTTCAATTAGATTGGTGCTCTTGATGTGTGCTTATAGATCTGAGTTACATTGTGGGTGTTGCCTTAAAGGTCCTGAGGATGTTTGACTCCATTGTTAGTGATCGTAGATAATGATGATGGACAATTCATGACTTGGAATATTCGTTTAACGGTATTAATTGGTCCCAGCGTGTTATTTGACAATAAGTAATGGCTAGAGATCATTAAATGAAGAACTAATCAATCTGAAAATTTCTCTTTAGCATCATTTTCTGATGTAACGAGACTTCATAGTAGTGAGAAAGCAGTTCCCTTGACACTCTTTCCTTGTTATTTCTCCTTGTGCAGTTTGGGAGCTCTTTGTGTTTCCTTCTGTGATTGAAACGCAGAGAGAAAAATGATTTTACCAAAGCAGTATCGCTGCACACACTCGCCAAGCTGCCAGTGCACGAAAGGCCATCTAAGCGAAGACGTCTTGTTGCTAGTCTTCCAACATTTGAACTGGAATCCAAAGCTAGTTGCTACACTTTCCTGTGTGTGCAGATGGTTTGATGACTTTGCCAAACGAGTACTATGGAAAGAGTTCTGCAAGACTCGTGCACCCAAAATGATGCTTGATTTGCAATCCAGCGGTAGTCACTGCATCGACGGTAACTGGAGAGCCCTTGGGAAGCTTCTCATCTACTGTTCAGGATGCACACAAGGCGGTCTTTTCAACAGCTCGGTTCAAATCCCGGGCCACTTTGTTTACAGAACCAGATTCTCGAGAACACTGGGAAGAAGCCTCCTTCCACCTCAGTGTAGAACCGATGTGCTCTACGTTTGTGATCCATGTGAGCATCTTGATCAAGGAGAAGAAGGTGATGTTGGTCTGTTCCGTGGGATTTTCAAGTCGTTTCCCACATCTAAAGTCCGGAAAGTGATCATTAACAAGGCGGTTCCTTTTCATCCGTCCGAGGTTTGTCCGTATTGTAAAGCTAGGCTATGGAGCATGCTGCAAGCTAAGATAATACCTCAGAGTGCTTGCATTCGCTTGGAAGCTTATGAAGACTGCATTGAGTATTTCGTTTGCCTTAACGGACATTTGCTTGGTATCTGCACTCTTGCGCCTTTGTCTGATTCAGAAGATGCAAATCCGAGCGAAGATAGTAATCAGATAGAGAAGAAACAAGGTACTCCACAAATCCTACACTCTTACTGTCTTTTTTTACAGACAACAGGAAAGTTTTGATTTTGATCTCTTTCTCTTTCTTCTCTGTTTATTTTGGTTGCAGACAATTGCATTGCTAAAGAGAACATATTGAAGAGGAGAAATTCTTTGTTGGGTGGAAGTGAAAACGGACCTTCACCTCAAAAACGACTGACCAATTCGAATCGATGTAACATTGATGTGTGAAACATCTGTAAATTTGCCAATTTGTGTACTTGTGCTAAATTTATTGCTTATGCAGAGATTCAACATTCATATACAGTCAAATTATGATTCAACAATTTCTATAATGACTCATCAGCTTATGATTTATATAAACTCACATTGAGATAAGATGTTATCATTGTGTTCTGTGACAAAGGAACTCAGTAAAAGTTCTGTACTAAAACATCTGAAACATCTTGAGTTTCATTTTTGCTCAAATGCTCTGTTTTGAGAAAGCTTCTTCTTCTTTTCCAGCATCTGTTGTTCCTGGCACAATCTTTTTGAACGTGAGCTTGTGCTGAGGTAACTGGCCATTGGAGAACGGTGTGACCTCTGTATCGATCAAAATGCCATCTTCTTCCTTGAAATCTCCTCTCAAGATGCCTTTCGCAAGCTCGTTCTCAATGTTTTGCTGTATCACACGCTTGACAGGTCTCGCTCCGTAGTTAGGATCATACCCGAGGCTCCCGAGAAGATCCACTGCTGCATCTGTAATCTGTATCTTCATTTTCCTGTCTGCAATACGCTTCTGCACACGAGCCAGCTGTAGATATACATAAAGAAGCGAGTGTGATTCAATAAGAGAGTTTATACAACATAACTCGGCATTGCCTTAGAAAGAAACTTCAACTTTCAAACACACTAAGCGTACCTGTAACCGGACAATGGTGTTGATCTGCTTGCGGTCAAGAGGTTGGAAAACTATATACTCATCAACCCTATTCATGAACTCAGGACGAAAGATTGATCTTGCAGCATCCATCACTCTCTGTTTAATCGTTTCATAAGCGAGCTCCTTCGCATCATCATCCGTGCCGTTCAGGATAAACTGCGAGCCGACGTTCGAGGTCATGATAATCACGGTATTGGTGAAACTCACTGTACGTCCTTGAGAATCCGTGACTCGCCCATCGTCCAAGATTTGGAGAAACACATTGAAGACATCTCCATGAGCTTTCTCAATCTCATCAAAGAGAATGACCGAGTAAGGCCTTCTTCTAACCGTTTCCGTTAGCTGCCCTCCTTCTTCGTAACCGACGTATCCAGGTGGAGCTCCAATGAGCCTAGACACAGCGTGTTTCTCCATGTACTCGCTCATGTCGATTCTCACCAAAGCTTCTTCCGTGTTGAAGAGATAAGAAGCAAGTGCTTTGGCCAGCTCGGTTTTACCAACACCGGTTGGCCCCATGAACATGAAGCTAGCTATCGGACGGCCTGGATCCGAAAGGCCAGCTCTTGACCGTTGGATCGCTTCAGCTACTGCAGTCACTGCAGGGTTTTGACCAACTACACGTTTATGCAACTCTTCCTCCAAATGTAAAAGCTTATCTCTTTCGGATTGTTGAAGCTTCGAAACCGGGATTCCCGTCCATTTGCTCACAATCTCAGCTATGTCGCTACCTAAAACCTCTTCTCTAAACATCGATTTTCCAGAGCTTAAGTATTCGTTAAGCTCCTTCTCTGCTTCGTTTAGCTGTCGCTGCAACGAGTTTAAGCTTCCGTATTTGAGCTCTGCTGCACGGTTAAGGTCGTACTCACGCTCCGCTTGCTGGATCTCGAGGTTAACTCTGTCAATCTCTTCTTTAATTGATTGAAGACGGGACATGACAGACCTCTCGTGCTCCCACTGTTCGGTTAGCTCGGACTGTTTCTCTTTAAGTAACAGTAACTCGCTCTCGATCCGACTCAGTCTCTCTCTAGAAGCTTTATCTGTATCGTTAGTGAGTGAAAGCCTCTCCATTTCAAGCTTTATCACCGCACGGTCAAGCTCGTCGAGAGCTGTCGGTTTCGAAGTGATTTCCATTTTCAATTTGGCAGCCGCTTCATCCACCAAGTCAATTGCTAGAAAAAACCAAAAACAAAACCAGTCAGCAACACTGTTAACTAATGGAGTTCAGATAATAAGATGGTGGCGATAACAAAACAAAGTATCAACCTTTATCAGGTAGAAACCGGCCACTGATGTAACGGTCAGAGAGAATAGCAGCTTCCACTAGAGCACTATCTGAGATGCGAACTCCGTGATGAAGCTCATACCTTTCCCGCAAGCCACGGAGGATTGAGATCGTGTCTTCAACGGTAGGTTGATCGACATAAACCTGTTGAAACCTACGTTCCAAGGCTGGATCTTTCTCTATGTACTTCCTATATTCATCAAGCGTTGTTGCACCGATACAACGTAATTCTCCTCGGCCAAGCATCGGTTTCAGCAAGTTACCAGCATCCATGGCCCCGTTAGTTGCACCTGAAAGAAAAGAATAAAACCAAACATTCTTTTAAATCTACTGCAAGAAAAAGTATTATCTTTTAGATACTTCATTGGATGTTGCATACCTGCTCCAACAACCGTGTGGATCTCATCGATGAACAAAATGGTTTGGCCTTCTGAGTCTGTGACTTCCTTAAGGACAGCTTTTAGTCTATCTTCGAATTCTCCTCGATACTTTGCTCCAGCGATAAGAGCTCCCATATCAAGTGATATCAACTGAAAAGAAACCAAAAGAATGGTTGAGTCAGTACTTGTCCTTATGGTACAAATAAGAAAGAACAATTTCACAAATAGTTGAATACCTTTCTGTTCATCAGTGCTTGAGGTACATCTCCTTGCACAATCCTCTGAGCGAGTCTGTTTCCAAAAGTGGAAATGTAATATCTTTAGCATTACATGAAAACAAGAACGTGGATCTTCTGAAGTTTAGTGGAAATGTAATATTAATATCTTTACCCTTCTGAAATAGCGGTTTTACCAACACCAGGTTCACCGATCAACACAGGGTTGTTCTTGGTTCTCCTTGAGAGAATCTGAATGCATCTACGGATCTCATCGTCTCTCCCAATCACAGGATCGAGTTTTCCTTCTCTCGCCATTGCTGTCAAATCTTTTCCATACTTCTCCAATGCCTCGTACTTCCCTTCCGGATCTGTCAAAAACATGATCATATTAGCTCACTAATATTCACTAACTATCAACCTCAAATAATGTTACCAACCTTGGTCAATGACTGATTGTTTCCCTCTGATGGATTCAATTGCAGATTTCAAGCTCTTCTCTGATATCTGAAAGTCCTTAAACAACTGTTTCCCAAACCGTTTGTCATCAGCAAAAGCAAGAACCAAATGCTCCACAGAGACATAAGAGTCTCCCAAGTCTTTCTTGTACTGTCTTGCCCTCTGAAACAGACCTTCCAAATCACGGCCCAACATCGAACCAGCAGCTTCTCCATACACCTGAAGTCACTCACTAAATTCTCATTATCCCCAAAACAAAACAAAACACAAATTTTCAGAGTCTAAGAGAAGACGCTAAAATTACCTTTGGTTGGCGCTGAATGAACTTTTCTGTTGCTTCTAGGACCTTGGTGTTATCAACACCGATCTTAGAGAAAATCCTGCGAGCTAAACCATTCTTCTGCTCCAAAAGAGCTTTCATTAGATGTTCTGTCTCAACAATCTGTTGCTTATTCTCCTTCGCCACATCTGGTGAAGATACTATCGATTGCCACGCCATTTCTGTGAATTCTTGCTGTGTGAGCTACACAAACAAAGACCATCGAACCCAATTAGCAATCCACAACATATTCGTGAATCCAAATAGTTACTAAACAAAAACAAAACTAAAGTTTTAGACTTTACTCGGCCATTAGAAGAAGAAGAAGAAGCTTCACATCGGACGAGGAACGGCTGATGTTGAAGCCGCCGTGTGAGCCCCACGCTCTGCTTCAATTTTACAGCTTTGAAGGAATTGGGCTTCGCCGGAAAAGCCACAGAGGGCAGGAGATGAGAAAAGGACGAAACTCTTCGGGTCTCCGTCCCTACACCGATCACACCACTAAACGCCGCCGTAGCAGCCGTCGAAGTCGTCGCCATTTGCTCCGATCACTTAAAAACGGCAAGCAGTTGACAAAGGGCGATATAACACAAGAGGGAGTTTAGCAGAAATCCGCCAAAACGGCGAGATGTTTTACTTCAGAACTCAGCAAAGATAACGCTTTTGCTTTTTTTTTTTGTTTCTGGTCTTCGCGTAGTTTAGCGAGAAGCAGGAGAAGGTGAAATATGAATGAGAATAAACAAGGAGAAGTTGCTAAACAACGCCGGAGGCTTCATGAACCCTCGGGATGAGGCTTCTCTGACACGTGGCAACCTCACGGAAATATATTATTTTCCGACGTAGAAATAATATAAGCCGTCCAAAACAAACCTGAAATAATATTTTCCTTAAGCTTGGGCTAAAGAAGTCGGCCCATTACGACTGTAACGCGCAGGTACAGAGCGTGGCTTTTACGCTCCAATAGCAAAATGATGTTACGCAAATTAGCGGAAGCATGAAAAGTGTAGGTGAAGAAGCCTTTTTGTGTACTTTACTTTATTATAGAACCACGAATTGAGTTTTAGTTATGCGGTGATAATTCAAGTATTCTGCAAATTGTTTTGTTCTCTATAATTCCATGGTGTTACTGTTATGAATAAGAATTACATTAGAAACCAAATCATAAGCGATCAAAAAGCCAATAATGTCACCGGAAAGAAATTACGATAGAAAGCAATGTTGCAGAAGAGGCTTCAAGAACAGAATCTTCCAAGCTTTTTTTAACGCTACTCGTCCTTTTAAAACCGATGTCCAAAGCAAAGACAGACACATTTGTTCTGTTTAAAAAGTTCAACTTTAGGCTTCTTCTTCTTTTCTGCTGATTACATCAACATTAGCAAAACAAAGATCTCAGCTTCTCAGACAAAGGGTAAGGATTTGATCAAGAATCAAAGAGTTGTTTAGTAAAAAGATGTTAAAGTTTTTTACCTTTTTCAGTAGCCTGAGGTTGGATGAGAACATGCATTGTGGTGACAGCACCAGAGAGATTAGAGACAGGGCTCCTGCAATCTCCAACCGTCTTGTTGTTCTCCAATATTCTACCTGCGCTTATCAGTTTCACATCTTTCACTGTCTTTGGCCCATTCTCCTTCTCTGCTCAGTAAAACCATAACACCAATCATGGATTCACAATCAATTTATAGGCGCAAAGCCAGCATCTTTATGACCAGAACGACAATTCTCACTGCATAAGATGAATAAAAGCATACACACTGACCTCTTGGCCACTGAGCAACAATGGTTTCTTTCAATGTTGCAACGGTTGTCGCATCAGGAAACGACTTGGGGCCAATATCTGATCCATCGGTTAAACGGAACTTGATCTCTAATTGATTCTTCACCTCTGCCATATATCTCCAAGAACCAACAATCTCTTCTCTCTCACCAATGACTTAACAAGAGCTATGTATCGAATTACACATAAACAACCTATATGCAATGAATGAAATGAATCAACTTTTTGCAGCAGCAAAGAAGTAATAAACACATTTTCAGTAGCTCAATTCTCATTGTGAAACCTGATGGATTTATATCTGATCTTGGATGGTGTAAATTTGATATAAAAACGTTGATTAAGAAGAATAGCGAAATAAGGTTCACGAAGATGTTCCATTGAAAGAGATGATCATGAATCGTATAGTCCTCAAAAGGGTATTCACTAATCATGAAATCAATCAACAATAGAAGTACCAATCAAACTGAATTTGGGTATTCTTATCTCAACCCACCAAAAATCGCGCTTGGTTGAATCGATCGAACACGCACAAACGAAAGAAAAACTTACTTGGGTCCGCGACTGATCTAAGTTTGGTGAATCAGAAGGATCTTTGAAAGTTTGCGGAGCGAAAGAGACGCGAGAGAGAGAAAGAGAGAGAGAGAGCGCGAGAAATGATTAAGAGATCTCGAAGATTTGAGGATCAATTGAAGCCAAATGTTCCATTCCTTTCTGTCCTTCTTCTTCCCATCTCTAGGGCCAATGAAAATGCTCAACCTTCAACATTCCATTTAAGTTTTTAATTATTTCCAAAGATACGAAATGCTCTGTACAAATAAATGATCTTCTTTTTTAATCCGAAAATATATATATATATATATTTTTTTTTTACATTCAAAGGCTATTGGGTTTTTGTTTATTGTTGTTAATCATCATCAACTTTGGTTCAAATTATCTTTTACACTTTCAACAGATTACATTAAAAAAATCACAGCTTCAAATGTTTACCAACCTAAGCAAGAAGATACAATTGTACAGCGAAATAGAGTCCAGATTTTAGAAAATTGTAAGAATTACGAACCCAAATGATATTAATAAGAAGAAATGTGGACAAGTGTATAATTGTTCTTCAATTATCAACAACTGGCCTTTTTGGTCATGACCCAAAAAAAACAAATGCAATCTTTCCCATTCTTATAAAAGATACAAGAACTGGAATCTTTAATCAGAAACCGAAAGAATTTCAAAAAGGGTACCTTCTATTTTACAGAAAGAATGAATCTTTATCTCTCTCTCTCTCTTTCTCTTATGGCAGCTTCCCCTTTGCTGCAACAAGTTCCTTATGTATGTGGCAAACTAATTTTCTGAGTGAGTAAAAAACCTGGCTTGTGTTTTATATCTCTGCTTTTTCTACTTCCCAATATCTTTCCTCTGTCTTTTACACCTGTAAGTAAGTACCTTCATCAAACAGAAAGCTTCAGTTTTGCTACTCCAAGATGTGACAGTTCTTGATGAAATCATTCGAGTAGTTGACGTATTTCGTCCAGAATGGCCTCAGATGCTCGAAACCAATCTCGAGCCATGGCTTTGATTGGCCATTGTAGTGGATCACCGCGGCTTTCTTCACATTTTCTATATTCGTCTTGTTCTGATACCCTAATCCAAGCATATGCCATGAGGAGTCTATTACGTGGACGTGACTCTTAAATGCGATAAGAGCTGGAGGCAAGGTTCCAAGCTTCCACATTGTCAGATTCGACTTTAGATTCTGCTCAAAACCAATAAGCAAACAGAGAGATGGAGAGAGTGAGGTAAATTGAGATTCTGCTAAAAAGAAAAACAAAAGAATGTGAGCTTTCTTTGATAGTTACCTCTCTAAGCCAAGAGTGATACGTTTCTCTGATATTTGTCTTCCTCCAAGCTTGTAGATCGAAGACATTCATACCATATGCCCAAGCGCATTCTTCAGGATCCAAATGCTTTGCTATGAGCGGGTGAGAGAAATTGAAGTAGTTCCTTAAACGCTTTGACATCACCCACTCATCTTCACCATGGCAAGTTTCTACTGCTCCATTCACCTTACCACCAAGGTCAACATCCCAAAGTGGAGCCAAGTCTCGCTGGACAACTATATCATCATCTAAGAAGACCACCTTGTCCAAGTTCGGGAAAAGCTATTCCAATAAAAAAAAAGAGAGTGGGAATTCGCATATGTTTTTAGAAGAGAAAAGCATAAAGCTCAATGGCAAGTTTAAACAAGGGGCTAAAAGATTTACCTCCGGTATATAGATTCTCAGATGGTTGAGCAAAGATATGTATTTTGGACTTCTAGACTGCAATTTTGAAGCAAATGTTCGAGGAGTTGTTTCAGTGAGGTTAGCACCAGCGATATGATTCCCATGGTAATAGTCCCTGACACCATTATGGCTTTCCACAGCTTCCAAAACCGGAACATTCTCTCTTGTCAACCAGTCAAACTGATGAACACCTTTGATTTCCACAATAGCAGGTGCAACAGAATTGAGCGCAAACCATGAATGCATACCCGCGTAGGTTTTCTTGTCTGTGATGATGTGAAAGACGATTTTCTCGGGTTTCGAAGATGACTGCACAGCGGATGAAACCACAACTGATGCAGCCAATATGTTGTCAGTGGCCAGAATAAAATGGTGGTAAGCATTATCTGAAAGAACGGGGAGAAGCTCCGGTGAAGGAAGCTGTCTACGAGCATGGGCATTGGAGGAATATTCATCTGTCAGTCTTAGAGAGAGACAATAAATGCCTTTGGGAATGGAACTTGCTGCAAAGTGCTTGTTCATAAGTTCCGCAAATTTCGATTCTCTAATATCCCGTTCGAACTTCTCCATCTATCCAAGACAGACAGAAACAAGAGTTAACAATAGTTGATCTCATCCAAATGCAGAAAACAAAATCAACATGACAATTTCAAGGGCCACAGATAAATGTAACTTTTTTCCAAAAAAAAGACAAATGCCTACAATCTATGCAAGGGCAAATTTTCAGGTTAGACAAAGCGTACCATGGCTCGCAGCACCAGAGCAAATGTTTTTGCATCATAGGGGCTATTCTTCATATCCGAAACAAGTTGACTAAAAGAATCCGGAAGCTTCAAACCATCTGGAATATCTTGAGTGCTTACTTCATTTAAAATCTTATAAAAGTCTCTAGCTAGTCTCTACAGCAAGAGAAACATAAGAAGAAGAAGAGGAAAATATCATTAAAAAACATGAGAAGATACTGAAACATAGCAGACAAAAGAAAGCAACCACTCACCTCTGTATTATCTACCCTACCAAGAAGACGTGGACCTAACCGCCTCCCTAAACAATCTGAAAGTAAGAAAACAGGGAAGAAAGTTAAATGAGGGGATCAAAAGGGCATTGGGGAGATACATTCAATTGAAATGAACATTGATCTTAGATGGAAAAACTCAGCAAATGACATCCTAAACAGTTTACAAGTACAGAACCGAGATATCCTCAAACATATAGATGGGAAAATATCCTAAGAAAATCTAGTAATGCAGAGAAATCTGTAGTTTTTACTCCACTCAATCAAAACAGAGGAAATTCTGCAAAAACATTTGTCGTTCAGCTCCACAATCCAACAAAATGCATTGATGGGGAAACAGATTGTGAAAATTATATGTACTCGTAAGCATTAAGGTCGTACAGCTACTTGAGAAGCAAAGATCTTTCAAAATTAATTTGTGGGGACCTAACAAGAAGATTCCAAAAAAAATCCCCCAAACTTGGTTGACTTAAGCCATCCTAGTACAATCCCAAGCATTCCCATTGGATTCAACAAACCAAACAAGATGCAAAATTTGTCGTTTGTCTTCCCAAATCATATGCCAAACACCATCCTCAAAGGGAAAATGACAATACAAAACGGATAATCCGGAAATTGCGCTAATCCGCATCAGAAACGTAGAGATCCAAAAACCAATTAAGATGAAGAACACACCAAATGTATACACAGAAAGGTAAAAATGAAGAAGGGAAACAAAAAAAAGGGTGGTCATACCAATGGAGGAGCACTTGTTGACACCTTCGAGGGTAACAACAGCGGTGAGGATGAAGACGAACGGTAACAAGAAGGCGAGGATTAAGATGGTGTGGAAGAGAGTTCGGTAGGAGATGTGACGAGCTGCGACCTTGATCTTCATCAAGTCAATAAACTCATTGCTGCTCGAAATCGTGATGCTTCTCATGCTCGGCGATATGTGAAGCTGCATCCTTGTTCGTGCAGCCCCACCTCAGTGACAACGGATACCGAATCGAAAACCCTAATTACTCCTGACGCTGGACGCAATCCCAATCCCAACATCAGATCCGATCAGATTCCGCCTCTCCGATCCCGATTCTCGATCTAGACCTCTCCGTCTCTCCCGATTCCGTCTCTGTTTCGTTCCTTATCGCTATTCTTCTTCCTTGTAGTCTTCTCGCAGACCGCATTGGATTTCCGACCACCAGAGGAAGATCCAAATTTGAGATTCCCGCCTACTCCTCCGGAGATTGCTTCGATCAATTGAACACGAGAATCCAAACGAGATTGCCACCGAATTCACGTATTAGGCAGACATTAGAGAGTCTTCGCAGAGATCAAGTTTCAAAATCAAAGAGCTGAGGAAGAAGAAATGAAAAGTAAGAGGAAAAAAAAATAGAAACAAACGAGAGGAATATCGAGCTTTTTGTTCTCAGTGATTTTGCCGGTGGATCTAAACATAAATATTCCAAACACTAAAAAAAAAAGACCAAAAACAAATTTTAAACAAAAGAATTATAATTTATTCGAGATCTAAAATTATAATGAAAAATTACTTAATTGGTGTCTTGGCCTTGAGTTTAGGACTTGTTTTATAGAGAGCTAATTATACATTGTCTCCACCTATTTTCATGGCTAAGCAAGAGTTTTGCTTTTTCATCTTTCCTCTAAAATGATTGATATAAACTAATTTTGATTGAACATAATAATGAAAATTGACAATTAAGACTTTTATCTCCACAATCTTAACTATGACGCTAATCTTAATCTAATTCTATTTTTTTACTAGTCGTTAGAGTAGACTACTGACTGAATTTGAATAACAACTTACAAGTGATGAAGAGAGCATAAGCAATTGAAATAGTAATATTCTCTGAAAACTGGTAAACTGTTAACTTTTGTTAATTACAAAAATAAAATAAAATACTATAGTCTTAGCTGGTAGGTCCAATGTCAACATAGAGATTTTTGTCAAAATTAATTACAACAGACCGTACAAATTCTCTGTCGTTTTCGGTTTAACATATTACAAAAAGTAGTTATTTAATTTCATTTATATGCTCAAAAGCTTTATTGAATACCATAGACCGACCGACACATTCCATTATGAATTTTCCAATCAGCAAAAACTGACTTAAACCGGAATCACAATCAAGAAAAAAAAGAGTTTTACTTTTTGGCGTTTCCTATCGCTTTCCCGGGAAACTGCTTTAACAAACACCCAGAAAAAAAAAAGCAGAGCAAAAAGTCTCAAACTTGACTATCAAATCATGTCCAGCAATTTCTTCTTTTGAACAAGGATTATGTACAAGTTCGATTCAGAAACTAAAGAGTAAACCAAAAAAGATCCCAGTCGGTTTATTTCCACCAACAGTCCCAACAAATGGTTTTTCTCATCTAAAGAATTAGAGCATAAAAGACTCAAATTTGACTACCAAATTCTGCAGAAAACGCAGAAACAGAGTTTTAGTAAAACTCGACTCCAGCAGTAACAGGAACGACACTGACAATCCCCAAATCCTCACGATCATCATCATCTGTTTTCAACTTTTCTCTCTTGCCGTGACATTTCTTGTGACCACCTAAAGCATGAGCCGACCTGAAAAGCTTTGAACAGATGCTACACTTGTACCTCTTCTTCTCATTCTTCACAGTCACAGACTCATCCTCCCCAGGCTCTTCGCTGCAATCCTTCTTTCTCTTGCATTTACTCATCCGATGAAGCGTCTGATGACCACCTAGAGCTTGGTACGACGAGAATATCTTCTTGCACAGCCTGCATTGATGCTCATCGCTCTTCGCATCAGATTCTCTAACCATCTCCGTCTCTGAATCATAACACTCCTCCATAGCTCCAGATTCTCGCAGATAACGCTGTTCCAATTCACACCCATCAGTAAAAACCCCTTCTTTCAAAAGTTTCTGCTCCTTACTCGCAAACTCAGATTCAAATTCACCAACTCTTCTCCATTTCTGCTGACGGAGCTTCTTAATCTCTCCCAAGAAACTAGCTAGCTCTGTCGATGTTTCATAACTACTAAACCCTTCTTCCTCATTACTGAAAAACCCAGATTCAAATTCACAAGCTTTTCGTGGTTTCTTGTTGCTCAAGCCATCTCTAGACCTCTCAGGAGTAGCAGCATCCATTGCTTCACCAACAAGTTTCATTCCGTCTGCTACAAGCTTGGGACTACTCTTAGACAAAAGAATCAAACACTCTGCCACTTCTAACTCTTCATCGTTCTCAGCATAAACAGAAGGCGGCGATTCAAGAAACCTAGTAAACGAGCAAGACGATGGAGTCTTCTTGTACCTTGTAACTGGCGATCTCTTCTTCTTCGTTACAAGACTGAAGCTACTACAAAGACTCTTGATCGATTCTTCATAAACCCTCTGCTTTGTCGTCGACAGATGCATTCCCGCTTGATGATTCGAGAGACATTTCTCGTACCGAAACCCTTTCCCACATTCTCCGCATCGCAGCAAGGTCTTCTTCATCGATTCTGGAGATTTCTGGGTTTTCTTCTTCGGGTTTTCCCTTAGACCGTAGCAGCAAGAGAGACTTCGCTGTTGGTGAATCGACTGTTCTTCTTCTTCTTCACGGGGCTGAGTATGATTGAGATGTCGAAGAAACCCATATTTGGGTTTAGCGAGATGTCGATGTTCTTCTTCCATTAGGCGCGAAACACGTGCGGGACTCGGATGAAGAAGAAGTCGATGAAGGAGATGATGAGGTAGATGATGTAGACGCAGACAAGGATGCAAAAAACGCAAGACGGAGATAGCCCGCACATTGTGAAAGAAAATTGAAGGATTCTGCTCAGTTTCTTTTCACTGCACCGAGAAAATTGAGAAAGAAAGCGTCGGAAACAGAGGAGGTAACAGTTTTCTGGGCAAGAAAGAAGAGAGAAAAAGGGAGAGACTTCAGGCTAACGAAGAACAGAGATAATCTTTTGAGTGTTATGTGACTTTTGAAGGAGAAACGAGTGAGCGAGAGGAATGAAAACAGAGAGAAACAGAGAATATATACAAGCACTGAGCGAAGGAACGAGTAAAAAGGGGCAATTTAGTAAATCGCCAAAAAGAGAGCGAAACTTTGTTTCAGTTGCAGCGAGAAGGTTGCACGTGGCGATGAGTCTCATCAGTCTCACAAGAGTCGCAACCAATTAAAAACGAGAAAAAAAACCTGTATAATATGAAAATAATACTTGAAAAAGCTTACAATATATGATAACCCAAGGTACATAATTACCAACAAAACCCAAACCTATAATCTCTGTTGGATTTTCATGCGAAGAACCAAAAGCGACAATTATTGTTCAAAACATAGTAAAATGAAAAATATGCAAAGGGAGAGAAAAAATGGAATAAAAAGCTACGGAAGAGAGGTTTGATTGTTTTAGGCAAGAGCAGGCATGTCCTTGAGCCACTGGTCCAATGGCTTACCAATGGAGTAAACAATAAACCCAATCTTCCTGAGTTTCTCAGCATCCACGACGTTTCTTCCGTCGAACACAAACGCCGGCTTCTGCATGTTCTCAAAGATCTTCTCGAAGTCGAGCTTCTTGAACTCGTCCCACTCGGTCAAAATGCAGATACCGTGAGCGTCTTTGGTTGCAGCGTACGCGTCCCAAGCGACTGAGACTTGCTTCACAGTGGTGGGGCTCATGGGCTGGAGATGAAGCGGGTGGTCCCAGTCGAACTTGTTCATGGTCAAGTCTCTCTGTATCTGGTCCTCAGTGACTTGTGGGTCGTAGATGCTGATACGAGCTTTGTCACCTAACAGACCTTTGCAGACATCAATCGCCGGAGTCTCTCTCGTGTCACCAGTGTCTTTCTTGAAGGCGAAACCGAGAACAGCAATCTTCTTGTTGGAGACTGTGTTGAACATTGAAGAGACAATGCGGTTAACGAATCTGGTTTTCTGGTAGTCGTTGATCTTGATGACTTGTTTCCAGTACTCAGCGACTTCAGGCAAGCCATTGCACTCGCAGATGTAGACCAAGTTGAGGATATCTTTCTGGAAACAGGACCCTCCAAATCCAACGCTCGAGTTCAAGAACTTGGGACCGATGCGAGAGTCTTTACCCACAGCGTAAGAGACCTCTGAGACATTGGCTCCGGTTGCTTCACAGAGAGCAGACATTGCATTGACTGATGAGATCCTCTGAGCTAAGAAGGCATTAGCTGCAAGCTTGGAGAGCTCGGCTGACCAGAGGTTGGTGGTGAGGATTCTCTCTTCAGGGACCCACTGGGAGTAAATGTCTTTCAAGGCTTTCACAGCTGCAAACCCTTCAGTTGTTTCACGACCACCGATGAGGACACGGTCAGGCTCGAAAAGGTCTTCAATGGCGGTTCCTTCAGCAAGGAACTCAGGGTTGGAGAGGATCTGGAACTTGATTCCTTTGCTGTTGTGCATCAGAATCTTCTCGATGGCTTCAGCGGTTTTGACAGGCACGGTTGATTTCTCAACGACAATCTTGTCGGAGACCGAAACGTCAGCGATCATACGAGCGGCGCTCTCCCAGTAAGTCAAATCCGCAGCTTTGCCAGCTCCGAGACCACGGGTCTTGGTTGGGGTGTTGACGGAGACGAAGACAATGTCAGCCTCTCTCACGTGTTTCTCAACATCAGTGCTGAAGAAGAGGTTCTTCCCACGGCACTGCTTGACCACATCGTCAAGACCAGGCTCGTAGATCGGGAGCGTATCGCTGTTCCAGGCAGTGATCCTCGGCACAGAGATGTCAACAACGGCTACTTCAACAGATGGGCACTTCAGAGCAATGACCGCCATGGTTGGACCACCGACATATCCGGCTCCAATGCAGCAAATCTTCACCATTTTGCTTGTAAACTGAACTTCCACAGGAAATGAATGTTAAATGTCAAACTTGAGATCAATACCATAAATAAACACCAAAGTTATAAGATAAAGTTCAAAAATTACACAACTCTGAAGCATAAAGGTGCTTAACAAAAAAAAACATTTTTTTTTGCATTTAGCTGCAACGCAGAACGAGAATTGTGACTCAACATGTCAGATCCAGCAATATAAGCGTTATAAAGGAAAAGCTGATATGCAAAATAAAAGCTATAAGCATTGGAAAGGAGGAGAATCCACGATATACAAAGACGTAAACTTTTGCAAATTCGGTTTAAAAAAAATTCAGATCCGGTTTCGTAAGTATTAGAAGATGCACACAGAATACATTTACGTAAACTTGAACCGAATATCAGGTGAAGCTAAGCTACCAATTCATATCAGCCCAGAGATTAAATTCATGATCATACTTAACTAGGCGAAATTCTACGAAAATGAAAACACATACAGCGAGAAATTCAAATCAGAATCTCAGATCTGGTACATGCAATGGGGAAAAAAAAAACGTAAATGAGAAACGAAATTACGTGAATTTTCAGCGGATCACCGACACGGATCGAACCTGAATGCAGGAAAAAAAACTTAACTCTCAACAGAATTACAGCAGAAGTTTGTGGAGGAAAGCACAAACATTCAAAACCAAATTTATGTGAAGAAACAAACAAAAAGCGGCCAAATAGATCCAAAATCGAAACGAGATCGGATCGATATAATCACAAAATTGGATCGAGAATACACGGATTAAGAGAGAGAAGAGAGAAATGATGATACCTCGTTCGAGCTATGTAGCCTCGGGTCTACACTATCGAAGAAAGTGGAGCTGAAATTGCTGGGGGAAAAATAATCGCTAAATCTGACGATGGAGAAGAAGAGCGGGCGAGTAGGAGTTTATATAGGTGATGAGATTCCTAAAATGCCCTTGAAACCGTCAAAGAATAACGCGGCCTAAAATGTTTTGGTTACTTATTTATTGCTTAAATACAATTAAATTAAACAACACTTTCAGTTAAAAATTTAATGACAAGGTAGGAAAAACGATGGTGGGCTCACAATATTTGGCAGGTTAATTAAAGTCTTCAAGACACGTTAAACACTTGACATATATATACATCCAAGGATTGGATTTCGACCAACATAAATAGACTGTATCTTATTAGTCAAAAAAAAAAATTAGATGCTAATTATTTATTCAGAAATATATATTTAGGAAACAAAATAAGTTTCATTTAATTGATATTTTTTGAATTGAGAAATACTAAGATGAAGGCAAAACATATATCTAGAAGTTAGTTAGGGAAGTATTAAGCAAACATATTGTTGAGGAATTTAAAATTCCATCATACATTATTGTTTTTTTTTTACATCTAATACATTATTGGTTTGAAGTTTTAACCCTGTGTGAGTCACTATCCAATTTATTGTCTATAATATACTTCCCAAAGTTGGTGATTAGTTTCAATAATGTACATGTTAATCAATTAGTATCAGTAGTTAAGTGATTGTGCGGTGGAGTCTGCAGGACAAACTTGTGATAAAAGACTAATTGCACTTTGCTTGATAACTCAGTCACACTTTTTGAAGTGCTTCTCAAGCTATATATGAATATACAAAAAGTGCTTCTCAAGCTATATATGAATATAGTTCTATAAATAAAATATACCAAGCAGAGTGTGGTTGGTTGAACAAATATAATTTATATAGATAAATGAAATCATAATGGAAACGAAATCTTTTGGAAAAAATGCGAATATAACTTGGTTGTATTATACGTTGACCACCAAAAAAGCTGGTTCATATACAACTCGATTTGGTTTGCCATGTTACTAACATGATGTTACTTTTAACTCGATGACTATATAAACACCCAAAATCATGATATCTATATTCACTAATTATTTACGAGTTTATATTCGGTTATACGACACCTTTGTAAACTATTCTCCATTGACCTATATAGTTAAAAATAAAGTTTGGATATGGTAAATTTAATAAACTACACGACTATTCTTTTTCACAATTTTGTATTATTAGAGTGATAATACGTGTTCCATTTTAAAGCGGCTACAAAAAAAACTAATCCACATAAATGTTATTTCTGATTTTCTCCGAATACTACATATGATAGAAGCAATTAAACATTTATTTGGGCTAAAACAGAAATTACATCTTTTTTCTTTTCATATTTATGCATTAAGAGAAAGGATACACAAAACTAACAAAAATATAATACAGAGCAAATTAAGATCATGACCAAATGACATTCCCTTTAGGCGCAAGACCTCTAGCTTGATCCAACGTAGTGAAACCTTCCCAAACCAATCCACTCTTTGGTCCACGCACCTTGGCTCGCTTAGACTCCACCCGTTGCCAAAACGAAATCACCAAACTCCAAATGATCAGAACCATGGACGCACCAATTAATCCGATCGCGGACGCTCTCGAGTTCGGCGAGATCACTGACCCTGAAACAACGTAAGCAGCGAACAGAGGAAAGACCAGAGGACAATACCGAAACATACTCTCCTGCCCTAAACTCAACAAAACCAGCGTAACCAACGCGGCTATGTAGAAACCCGCACTGTTCCATACCCATAACCAAATAAAGGTTGCCTCTCCCATAACCACCGAACCCGTTTTCCCACCGCTTGTTTCACCACCGCCACCACTGTCAGAAACGCCTCCGGGAGGCTGGAGAGCGGTTTGATAAGTAGCGGTGAGTATAAGAGTGGCGACTACCAAAAGAGCGTTTCTTCTTTCTTCGGAGATCCAAGCATAAGACCGAATCACCGCCGTCTGACTCGATTCGCTCCATGTAAGCGGCGAGCCGAGAACATCCGATGTTGTCTTGATCTTAGCCAGAGAAACCGAACGTTTTCCTCCATGTCTCTTAACCATTCTCTCTATATCTCTTCTGTTATTCTCTTGTCTCCGTAATACGGCAATGTCAAGAACAGTTAAACCGCTCTTGTCTTCGATGTTCACGTTAATCTTGGAGCTCTCTAACATCAATTTCACAGCTTGGGGATTGTTCTCGTGCGCTGCGACATGTAAGGCCGTGTAACCATCTTTGTCTCTTCCGTTTATGACTCTTGTCTCGATCCTCTCTCCATCTTTTTGACACAATCTTAGGATCCATCCCATGAGAACTTTAAGGACTGTTAATCCTTCTCTTTGGTCCTCGTTCTTGAGGGCGATGTGAAGAGCGTTCTCTCCGTAAACGTTTGAGTCCACGATGCTCTCGGGGCAGACCAAGAAGAATTCTGATATCAAATCGATATTCTTGTTACTCACGGCAAGAAGCAATGGCGTCGTACCTTTTTGGGACAATGAAAATGAAATTAACGATTCCGTTACCAATCTGGTTAAACCGAGTTTATATAGGCAAGCTTTACCAATCCAGTAAAACACTAAAACTGAGCCATCCCGAGTAAAAAATTGTTCCGAGAAAATTGAACTGGAAAACCAAACCAAAGATGAAATAATGCCGACGAAAATAAAGAAAAATTAAAGATGAAATAACTTAAACTCGGATATTTTTTTTCCAATCCGAACAAAATAAACCAAATCGATTGGTTCATAGTAGTATTTATGGAATTAAAAATCCAAGTAAAACTGAAAACTCCGTGTGTTTTGGATCATTGATTAGAAAATTCTTATAATTTTTTTATGTTATATGTTATTTGTTATTTATTCAATACTAATTTATTTATAGACTAAATTAAACCCCACATATACTCAGGTTTATTTTATAATCTTTGAAATAAATCACGAAAAAATATTAAACAAAATATGATCACTTTTGAAAGTGAATAGAATAATATCAAAAATTTGATAATGAAACTCTAAATAACATAAGATTGATCATCTTTTTACATGTTAATTATAATTGACTTTTTTTTTTGAATTCATGAAATGAAAAATGAACTATTATTATTATTATTTTTTTTTTATCTAAAATAGAAAGACTTACATGTGTCTAAATCTGATCCACTAATTAAGTCGTAAAACTCGTAAAACTTTGATTATTCTATTCAAGAGATTTTAATTTATGATTTTTTTTAATATTGCTTTACCTAACAATAAATTGAAAATTAAATTATTCAAAATTAGAATATTGGCCCACTATTAAATTTTCTTTTTAATATTAGTTAGCTGCTTTAGTTTTCAATTTTATTTTGTATCAGACTATTATAATTTTTTCATTTCATTATTAGTTAGTTGTTTATAATTATTTTGTTTGTTTACTATTTGTGTTGTTACAATTTTTCAATTTCTTGTATTAACACATGACATGTATTAACACATGACATTATAGTCACATACTGCAACAATAAATTATAGTTCAATCAAACTGATATAGAATTAGATATTCTTCATTGATATATTGAACTTTCAAACACATAATCTTTTATGTTGGTGAGAAAAAAATTAAACAAAAGATAAAATCATACAATTAAATTATGAATGCTATAACTTATTATATATATTGGTTTATATCGAAAAAGGGGTTCCAAGAAAATCGATTTGGAAACCAAACCAAAGACGAACTCAACAATTTTTTTTTTTTTTTTTTTTTTTTTAAATAAAAGCTTTCCATTAATAAGAAAACATACAATATACCCCTCGGGGTTCAAGCGCTTACAATCACAGGGAAACCCTGCAAGCCAAGAAATGGCACAAAAGAATATACTCAAGCTAACTGCTCACAACCAACTCAACAAAATTGGTTGAGTTAAGCTTTTCTTATACTGTAATCTTATAAATTAAAAATAAAAATGTAAGATATATATATTTTTTTGGTACGTACCTTCTCTCCTTTTAAAACGAACAAGGCTTGGATCAACCTTAAGTAGTTCAAGTACTAGCCAGACGTGACCGTGATTGACGGCTAGGTGTAACGGCGAAAGTCCGTCGGCGTTAAGTGTCCGAGCAAAAGATGGTTTCAAGTTCATCATCTCCATCGCAAACTCTGCTTTCCCAGCGACGGCTGCCACGTGGAGAGGAGTATCGATGAACGGCACGTTGTCGGTTTTAGCGAGAACGTATGGATCTTCATGGATTAGTTCGTATAACAGATCGATGTTTCCAGATTTAGCAGCAGCTTCTAATGACCTCTGATCCATTTTTTAAAAGTTAAAACGTAAACCAAACCAACTTCAGAGAATGATGAATCTGTGGAACTGTTAGGATTAAATACATCTGACATGCGACACAGACACAGAGACGTGACTACGAAACAATAACAAGTTTGTGGATATAGGAAATTCGAATTAGCCTTATAAAAATAAGTGTGGAAAATTATAAGTGACTTGGCAGTATACATGGACGAAGTCAGCATCCAGCTGTAAACAAAGAATAGTCAAAAACATATTGATGTGACGTGGATTACAGGTGGGTTAAAAGCGACATCATCATCTCTTTGATCCAACGGCTACGATTATTAGTAAACTAAATTGCTTTTAAATTGTTTGGAAAATATTGACGTGACGTGGCAATAAACGTGGATTAATAGCAGCATCGTCATTTACTTGTGATCCAACGGACAAGATTAGGAAATAAATATTTTATTACCAATCTGGTTTTATATTTATTAAAAAAGCACCAAAAGAGTAGCCGTTATCAAGAGCGTCCAAAGAGGGCCGCAACGGTCACATTTTCTCCATTTCTCCGTTCTTATTCAATTCACATCGGAAGAAAAACAATAATTCTTCATTTCTGTCAATTGTTTTGGGTAGATTCTCAGATCAAGAGCGATTATTGTTTGTATTCTTGTTGCTATCCCAGATTCGGTTCTGATCATTAATGGAGTCGTTGATTTTGAAGAATGGGAAACCGGGGACTCCGGTGAAAGATCGGAGCAAGTCTCAGTCCAAGGTCCAAGAGACTCTCCGACCGTCGGAGAATGCAAACCCTAACGTTTCACAGGCAAGTCCGGCTAAGTCTCCGCTCGCGAAATCCGCAGCCTCCCCAATTGTGAAATCTGCGAATTCGAAGAAATCGGCGCAGAAGAATCAGATCCCGAACCTTAAACCGACCCAGGCGGTTTTCTCTCCCCGGAATCGGATCAGAGAGAGGAGGTTCGTTGTGGTGGCGAAGAAGAATTCGAAGAAGGGGAAAAAAGATCCGGCGCCTACGGAGTCGTCGACGGTTTCTGAGATCGATTGCAAATGCGGAGAGAGGAAGAATGGGAACATGAAGTGCGTTTGCGTCGCGTATGAAACGCTGCGTGCTTCACAAGAGGAGTTCTTCAAGAAACGAATCGAGTCCGAGGAGGAAATGGGAGGTGTGGAGGAATGCTGTGATCTCGGAGACGGAAATGAAGTAGATGGAGATGGATCCGGTGAACCGGAACTGATTGGCGTTTCTACAATGAAGAGGCCAAGAGCCAAGGTGGTGGAGGAATCACGGCGAAGTGTGCCTGAGTCCGGTAAAGTGATGAATCTAGTAGAAGCATTTGAGAAGCTCACTTGCTTCAGTGTCTCAAAGGCAAGCAGCAAGAAAGAAGATGAACAACCTGCAGAGGATATGAAGAAGCAGCACCCATGGAGTTCTTCGTTTTGTCCATCTGAATTGGTACTAACAGCTAAGAATCTGGGTTTAGACCCCAAGGCCTCGGTTTCTTCGTCCTGGGACAGCAGCCGCGGCAGGTTAGTTCGTCGGTGACTGAAAGATCCCACTGAGTTTCTGAAATGTTTTAGTTTTCTGATCTGAATTTTCTGATGTTGCAGTGTTTTGAGTGGGAATTCAAATGCTAGCAGGAGAAGCAGGAGAAATGTATGTTATTTCTTGCATAATATGTGACAATTGATGTGCATTTGCTATAATGAGTTTAACATTTCTGTGTGTGGCAGAGCTTGGACTCATCGACTACAATGGGAAGCAGAAGATCAAAGAAGAAGCAGGTTAAGGTCACTTCATTGAAGCCGTTTAAACTTAGAACTGAGGTATGAGCTTCTCAGATTAAAATATACTGAAAGTTTTCGGATTTGATGGTAGAAACTGATTCCTGAGTCCTGACTGTTGGTTGGTCTTTTTGTTTCTCTGCAGCAAAGAGGTAGAATGAAAGAGGAAGAGTTTGCAAAGAAGCTTCAAGAAATGACCATGGAGGAAGACAAGTTGAGAATCCCTGTTGCTCAAGGTCTTCCATGGACAACCGATGAGCCTGAGGTAAGACTGATGCTAAGCCTATTAACATCCAGTTTGATCTTGCAAGATATGAAGTGGTCAAGTTAGGATTCTAATGTTATTTTTTTTTTTTCTGTTTCAGTGTCTAGTCAAGCCTCATGTGAAAGATATTACAATACCAGTCGACTTGACGCTCCACTCAGATGTCAGGGCTGTAGAACGCGCGGAATTTGACAACCAGGTTAAGCCTCGCTGGCACTGATAACAGTCTTGCATGGTTCCACTAAATGTCTTCATTGTTTAAGAGTGTGAATTTTGTTGTTATAGGTTGCCGAGAAGCTGAGCTTAATTGAGCAATACAAAATGGAAAGAGAGAGACAACACAAGGTAAAGAAAGTTATATACAATATTAGAGTATTGCTTTTGCTTTAGTTGTTTTTAATAATCCATATCTCTTTCTTTTGCAGATGGCAGAGGAAGAAGAGATAAGAAGGCTGAGGAAAGAGTTGGTCCCAAAGGCGCAACCAATGCCCTACTTTGATCGACCATTCATTCCAAGAAGGTAAAAATAAATTACTTTGATCGACCATTCTGTATCACAGACAATCATAGGCTGCTTTATTCTGTGTGAATTACAATTGCTTCTTCTTGGTTTTCCTTTTATCATCCAACAGGTCGAGCAAGCATCCAACCGCACCAAGAGATCCCAAGTTTCACATACCGCAACACAAGAAGATAAGATGCTGCAGCAGTTCATCTTCTTGGAGTGAAACTGGCTCCTGCATGAGTGATCTCCATTATCAGTATCTTTGAAAAAGAAGCTTCTTGTGGTTTTGCATTTACTTGCAGTGATATTTCCCTGTCCATATTCTCATTTTCAAAACTACATTATCTTCTTCTGTACAAGATTCAAAGAAGCAACCAATTAGTTGCAAGTGTTATAGATATTTGCCAATCATTCTTGTTTTGTTTCCACCTTTGTAATAAAACTGGTCTTACACCCCAAAAAATGAGAAAGTTTTCATATCTCTTTTCAGATCCGATTTACTCTCTGGTGTAGTTCTGGTTCATAAAGATAAAGATACCCTCCACATATATATTACATGTAATATCTCTTTTTTGGCAGCATATATATTACATGCTTTCAGTTTCAAATTGAATGCTTTCACTTATTGCTATATTAACTCAGTAACTTTATCATACCAAAAAAAAAAAAAACTCAGTAACTTTATTATAGTACATTATTAAATACTTTGACCGAAAAATATATTGTTGATATTCAGTTTCCAAGTATATACAAGTCTTTTATAAGTCTCACTACCATTCTCCAATATTAAGAAAACAGAAATCTTATCATAAAAACATCTGACCTAAACATGGTTGTATTTGGGAAAAACAACTTGGTTCCTTTATTGATGTTTTTTCTTCTTGTTACTTCATCATATGGAAGCTTCAATGTGAAACTTTTAGACGGTGAGGTGAACACCATCTGCTCACGTGATGTTAATCCTTCTTTTTGCTTCAATTTGTTTAAATCGACTCCTGGTATTAAAACACTAAATCTTCCTGACACCGCAAAGTTTTTGATCAATTATGCATCACAAGATGCTTTGGATTTACAAAAGCAATTCGAGTCACTCGTTCAAAAAACGAAAGATCCTCAATCTAAAAATATTTACAGTCAATGCTCAGAAAATTATGAATATGCTATTAGCGAGTTTAATGTCGCCCTCCAAGCATTGGCAGAAAAGGACAATCTCACCTTAAATGTTAAAGTGTCGGCTGCGATGACACAAGGAGATTCATGCAGCTCCGAGTTGCCAAGTGTTAAACCTAGTCCACAACTTTTGAAGAAAATTTCGGATATGGACAATGTGTCAAACATTGTATTGATAATTTCTAATATATTACCTAAAAATTAATAAAATATTATAAAGATTAATATTGTATGTTGGATTTGGATTTAAATTTTCGTAATGTTTTTTTTTTTTTTTTTTTTTTTTGGCAACAAACGGCTATTCTATTACTCAAACTAGAGTTGGTGTGGTTACCCACCCCGGAATAGAACAACCAACAAAGAAAGCGGCCTAGTGAACAATCTAGCCTGCCGGGCCAAGTGGTCGGCTTTGGTAACAAAAGAACGAGGAAGGAAAGATAAAGAGAAGTGAGAAAAGAGGCTCTGAAGTCTGCTAAACTCTTGAAGTTCGGTTGAGAACTTTGGCCAATCCTCTGGCTTCTCGATCATCTTAATGACATCTTGACAATCCGTCCCAAAAGCTTGAGCGTTAGAGTGTTGAGCTACGCATTGCATGGCCCATAGTAGTGCTTCTAGTTCTGTATGGAGTGGGGAGATGCGTCTCGGTTGGTTGTGCAAGCCTAAAAGACGTTGGTTTCCTTCCGAATCAAGCCAAATCCATCCGTAACCACTAAGTGTTTGATCTTGGTGCCATGAGCCATCTACAATGCATACATCTCGTAAGCGTCTGGCTTGGGTCCCTGCCGTTGATGGCTGGGGAGCTTTGGTGTTGGCTTGATGCCAAGCTCGGCATTCAGCTTCTGCGTGACGGACAGTCCCAAGAGGGTCTCTATCTATACCACGGAAGAGCTTCTCGTTCCGGGCCTTCCAGATAAACCAAATGATCCATGGGAAAGGGTCACAATCCTCTTCTCCGATTATCGATATTGGGTCTTCTCCAGAACAGGTAGTCCATATTCGTGTATATGCCGGAGGAAGGAAAAATATCTGGTGGTGTAAGGATAGGGCAAGGGCCCATGTTTGAAGGGCTGGTGGACATTCAAAAATGGCATGATTGATCGATTCCTCTGGGCTCCACATCTCGGACAATGATTGTCGCAACTCATCCCTCTATGGTTTAGGTTTTTTGTAACAGCGAGATAACCCGAAATAACTTGCCATAGAAAATGTTTGATTTTATAAGGTGCTCTGCACTTCCAAATTTTCGTAATGTTATAAACTAACATGTGAGGTTGATATATGAGTATTCTATGAAGATGAGCAAACTTAAAATAAGAAGAGATACAGACAATGAGGCACATTGAAACTGAACTGAGACACGATAAAACTGAGAACAAGACAAAAACGATCGTTGTCTATAACAAGACTTGACAGGTTTGGTGAAATTAGTTAATAGAAGAGGAGTTGGGTTTCTTCGTAAGCATCGAAATCAGATTCCTTTACCCAAAAAAGAAAGAAAAATAACTTGACAGTTGTAAGACATATCTCTCACTCTCTCTCTCCCTCTCGCATACTATCTCCCATCTCTTCTTCTCGTTTCCTCGGTTTCATCGTCCACTTCATTTCATCTGTCTCAAACAATGGCGTCATTGTCGATACCTTACGCCAAGATCTGTGCTTCGAACCGGCGGGTCGGATCTATTCCTGGAATCTCGACTCAACCATGGCAGCCGCAACAACCCAATGGAATCTCTTTTCCCTCCGATGCATCTCAGGTTTTTTCTGCTCATTATTCTCTCTCCCTCTCTTTCTCTCGCAGATGAATATGATGATCCTCTAAAAAAGTAATTATGATCTGTTTAGTGTTGTTCCTAGTCGATTAGTGGACTTGTGACACTCATGTTTAACTATGGAACTTACTTGTCCTGTACAATGTATGTTTATATATATTACAATGATGATCAAAGTAAAGTTGCTGTCTTTTTCAATTGAATACACTTGACTATACTATGCATTGATTCAAAACTCTCTTTCCGTCGACTTCTACAGAGTCAATCTTCACTCTGGAGATTGCGTGCGACAGCCAATGAGGTAAAGCTTGTTTTTTAATTCCATACATTTTTACACTACGATGTAACCTTTTTACTCTCAATTTCTACCTTTTCACCAACAAAGGTTATCTCCAACTCTACCCCAAAGCCTAATGGTGGTTATATGAACGGAAAAGTGAAGACCAATGTTGCTGAACCCGCCGAGCTCTCTGACTTTATGGCTAAAGTCTCAAGTCTTCTTAAGTAAGTCCAATCCCAATAATCCTCCCTTACCAATCCTTTAAGTATAGAGCTAATTCAAACACCTAAACGTTTTGATTCTTATACAAGGCTTGTGGATTCAAGAGACATAGTGGAACTTGAACTGAAGCAGCTTGACTGTGAGATTGTTATTCGAAAGAAGGAAGCTTTACAGCAACAAGCTGCACCACCAGCTCCAGTGTATCACTCAATGCCTCCTCCAATGGCTGGCTTCCAAATGCCGCCTCCATCTCAACAAGTGGCTCCTCCTGCTCCCTCCTCAGCCCCTGCAGCAGCAAAGCCAGCAGCCGCTCCGTCCTCGTCTCATCCTCCACTCAAGAGTCCTATGGCTGGTACTTTCTACCGATCTCCTGGACCCGGTGAACCGCCTTTTGTCAAGGTACTCGAGGATCCAAACATAAAGACAAAAAATCCTGTTTCTTGGGTGAAACTAAAAGTCATTACATTGTTTACTTTGCAGGTTGGAGATAAGGTGCAGAAGGGTCAAATTGTTTGCATTATCGAAGCAATGAAACTTATGAACGAGATTGAGGTCTGATATTCTTTATAACACCACGATTAACTTACAAGTTTATTTTGCGGATTTGATGATCATTTCAAATATATGTGTCATTATATATGTTTGTGAACTTTTCTCAGTCTCTAACTTGTGAAGTTGTGTGTTAAAAAAACAGGCTGAGAAGTCAGGAACCATCACTGAATTGCTGGCTGAAGATGGAAAACCGGTCAGCGTTGACACGGTACCGATCTCACCTCTTCCCTCTCTGTTTTTTCTTGTTTGTATCGATTTTTCAGATCATTTTGTGGTTAATTCTGCAACAAACAAACTATGCAGTCTCTGTTTCTCATCGTACCTTGAAACGAAGAAGCGTCCTTTGGTTCAAAACATCTTCAAAGTCTTGGTTAAGCTTTACCGACGTGCTGAAAATCAGAAAAAATCATCAAGTAATTATTTCGGTTCGGGTTGGTTTGGTTTCGGTTTTCTACTCTACCTTCAATAGCTGGCTCTTTCTTTTGAGAATCACGTCACGTATTAATATGATGTCACGCCTTTCAGAATAAAATTCGACAACGAAACAATTTACTTTATTTGTACGACACTATCTGTATCACCAATGGTTTGATCAAGAAATGAGTTGTTCGGATTAATATTAAAGATTACTGTGAACAAAAGAAGCTTGATACAGATTAAACAAAATTCAATAGCAATGAAGTTAATAATACAATATGAAGAGCAAATCGACCAAAGTAACCCCAATTCCGGTCTTCTACTTTGATTTTTTTTTTTCTATCGAAAAACAAAAAAGGTTATAACGATCGAATTCATTCGCGTCTTCCTAATTTTGTAAGGAATCGTTACTGTACAATGGTTAAGAGCCTAAAAATAACAGCGTTTTCGATTGGTTTACTTTTTTTGTACAGTAGTAATCTAAAAGAGGAGCAAAGCGCGATCTTACTTTACCTTCTGTTGCTACTTCTGGTGCTGTAATTAAGTCTCCGAGCAGACATACCACCACCTCCTCTTCCTCTTCCTCCTCCTCCGTTCCAACCTCTGTCATCATCGTCCTCGTCGTCATCATCTTCATTGTAGGCCACTGCTTTCTTAGCAGATCTTGAGCTTTTTCTTGGCGTTGGCCGTTTCCTCTTGACGTTTGCTGAATAAATGGTGTAGTCAAGTGTATCTTCTCTCATGGCGTTCTTAAACTCCTGCAAGAAGAGAAAAGATGAATGAATAATGATTTCTTCTTCTATGCCCAAAAGTGAACAAGAAAGAGTGTTAAAACTTGTTTGGGGTTTAGGGTTTTGACCTGATATCTCTGAACTAAGTCTTGATATGTTGAAGGTAAGTCAGTCCGAGTTCCGCTGAGGTCAAAGGCAACGTTTTGTCTGGACAGAGGATCTCCTGGCTTCAATGGTTCCGTTGGAGAATAGGCCTGACATTAAAAAAAAATTCCAAACACAATTACATTTTTCGTCAATATATATAAAGTTTAAAGAGACTCTAAGCTGGGAAGAAAGAATCGTACTTGGCACCGGTCGTCGTTTAAGCTGTACGTAACTTTTAAGTATCTCTTTAGCCTCAAAAGAAGTTGTAAAGCCATAGCTGCTAAGCAGTCAACCTGAAATAGCACCAAAAGAAATGACTGGCATGAGAACCAAACCTTATATAATAGCAATGATGAGACTATAAGAAACCCGATTATAACGCATCACAGGAGAAAAAGATATGAAGACTTACCTGAATTTTTTGCACATCATCGGTGGATAATTCAGGCGGATCAGATGAGGCCATCTTGTGCACATTTGCTTCCCCATTTTGGGTTTGATAGGAAGAAGTGAACTGATCCCTCGGGTCTTGGTATACTGCTCCGTTGAGGTCAATTGGATTTGGATGGCCATGGGAATTCCATTGCGTTGGTTCTTCTTGGATTCTTGTGTTCAAATCCATCATGTGCATATGTCCGGGAATCAACTCTTGCTGGTATGTTCCATTTCCCTGCTGAGTCTTCGCGGAACCTTTATGTAACAAAGCCTTCAAATTCGACTCGAGTGCGCCAGCCCGGATTTGTATAACTCGGTTTATGGAATATACAAGATAGAGCGGCTCATCAGGTGATGTGAATGGAAGTAAAGCAAGGGTTTCAGTGCAGTACCTGTTAGAAAAAGCAGCTAAAAATTAGTGTTTATTTTTACCAGAGACTGAAGTTTTTTTCTTTGTAGCAGCGAATACTCACATCAGAAAGGATATCACTGAGCCACTCCAGGTTGGATTATCAAACTTGCGAACAATTGAAGTCATAAATTTGTTACGAGAAATCCGGTTTCCACGGATAAGCTTGTAGATCCTAGAGACTCCAAGTCTAGCTTGTGTGAGAGTGCTCGTTTGATCATTTTTAACCGGCATGTTTGTCGAACCCTTTTGTTGGCTGATGGATTGCATGAAGGTGAACGACATTTGAAGTCCATCACCGAGACGGCTTTCAAAGAAAGCTGGATACCTGGTGAACATGTCGAAGTGTGTTAGTGCACCAATACTTGATGAGCGAATAATGGATTTGTTTTCTAAAATCCAATCAGAGGATTACTTCTCATGCATATTCATTAGTAAATGATGGGCCAGCTTTTGGTTGGCTTCTAGAGGATCTGTCTCGAGGGCAATCAAATACGGAACACATGTAATAGGATGAACAAGACCTTGACGTAGCACAACTTCAACTATCTGCGGAACAGATATCTCTCTCGTTAATTCACACAAGAGAAAAGAGAGACGAGCAAAGATTTTTAATGGAAAGAAAATAGAAGGCGAACCTTGAGAGCTATCTGGCGAATTTGATCATCAAAGTCCAAGCATCTACCTAATATCTTATCCCAATACAACTGCACAATGCCTCCGCAAATGTTGGTGTCACCTGCACCAGCGGCCACAGGTACAGTATGGCCACCTTGCTCAATCGGGTCAACCGTGTTATCACCAGCTTTATCGGATGCCAATTGTTTTTCGGCATCAAGAAGGTATTCATACATGTTTTGTAATGCTTGCATCTGGATCATGAGCATTAAAAAAAAGAATGTAACCATATGCAAGCGTACTACAAACATGTACACCATAGTAATAGTTGAAAAATGCACATAGATGGGCGATATATACCTTCATACGCCCGTTTGCTTCATCTGCTAATGCACTTTCAATTATCTTTCCAATGTCTTCTTCCAACATGTAATCAGGCCGCGCAATTAGAATGAAACCTAAAGCCTACAGAAAGTTTGGGGTCACCATCATTCTAGCATAATAAAAATATTGAGAATGTGCAACAGACGACTGTATGCACTATACCTGCAGGGACCTGACTTTCAAAGCAAAATCTTCCATGCGGAGATGTCGTTTGAATACATTGAGACAGCTAGAGAGATTGAAATTCCTGCCATCTGAGGTGCTTATAAGAGAGTTTCCATGGCGAATAAGCAAGCCAAGACAAAATAGGGAACGAGCAATCTGAAATAGACAAGAAAAAATTCATCATTTAGCTTAGCTTCAGGTTAATCCGTTGCTGTGTTCATCTTGTGAAGAATAAAAGTTCTCTCAACTCAGATAACATTCACTCTCAAGGGAGATATACGTGATCACTGAATATTACTATTATTAGGCACCACAAGGAAGAGTAGTTTCAGTAGAGAATAATGATCTTATAAGCAAGAGGAAGATGGGAGTCCCCTGTGCCTCTACATAAGGTTAACCATAACGTCCAACGAGAATAAGGTTAACCATAACGTCCAACGAGAATAGGAAAAAGGCAAGTTTAGGTAATAATGCAACCAAATTTACACCACAAAGGCAAGCCACAGCAATACATACCGACCCACAGAAAATCCACTTGTAAAATCATTTGCGTGAAACAAGACTCAAAAGGCCTTGATTGTATGAAACAACGAAAAAATTGTGATGCGTGATCTTATCAAAGAAAAACCAACCTGGTTGTTATCGGAACCTTGGGCCTCAAGCCGCTTAAAAAAGAACTGAAGAAGATACTCAACTACGCTAACACCTTGTCCCGCCAATTTACTCACAGAACAGAGACACCTGAGAATTTGAAGAGTTTGCACTAATCAAACAGAAGGCAGTCTCCTAAAAAAGATAAGTGATGCTTGTCGATTGCCTCTTCCATGAAGACATCAGACATGTGATCATCCAAATAAAAATGAACACATATGAAAGCGAAGACGATGTACAGGGCCATAGTGGTAGTTGAGTAATAGAGGGTACCTAATGCAAGCATGAACAACAGTTAGAAACGAATGCCGAGCAATCATATTCTTTAGATCTTGCTCCAGATCTTCTGTGACACTGAGTGGCAGCTTGCGGATCAAGGGTAGGGCAGAATCGATAATGAAAATAATACTCTCGAGTAACTGTGCTCCTATTCTACTATCAACCTGCAGCAAATACAGGACGAAAGGCAGGTTAGCAACACTTTGAGATACTAATGCGGACACACTTTCAGACAGATGCTTTCTTCTCAGGGTTACTACCAGAATAGTTCATTTATAAAATTAAAGAGTGACCAGATTGATGAATATATAACCTGACTCTTCAGATATGGCTGTAGGGTGATAACAAACTTAGTAGGGTCTGAAGCCGGTGTACACAGTCCAGGATCCACCAGACAGAAAGCATGCAGAAGAAGTACATAAGGAAGCACTTGCATCTCTCCTTCTTCACGGCTCATCTCTTCTACCTGACGGAATAAAAGATGTTAATTATTGGTATCCGACCAACCCATCAAGGCAAAGACATCAAGCATTAATGTTGACCTGTAATATTTTTTCCAGTAAGCACTTGCACATTAGCTCGCAGCGCCTGCGTACTGATGCAAGAGCAACTGGGTTGATACCAGCAGCTTTAGTTGCTTGAGGGAAAAAATCAAGGGCCAGGGCACGCTTAATAATTGTACCAAGTAGCTGGTGATTCGAGGTCCTCCTTAACAACTCAACCATTTGCTTGGTCTTCTTTTCCACTTCCAGTGGAATGGAGCTACCATCACTCGCAAACTGAGTATGATGCCCTGATGGCTCTTCAAACCAAAATTCATAGAAAGTTTTGCACACAAGATCCTGCGGATGAACAAATATCTAATATAGATCTTGTATACATGCATAATATCACCCTAAAGAATGAGAACAAGAAAGATCAAAGAGCAATGTACACTGAGATATAAAAATTACCTGGATGCTAGACTCATCATCACTGATACGAGATAATATCTCGGCACATGCACTTGTAAATTCAGAGAAGTTGGGATTTGAAGTACACATGTCACGTATTATCTTGATGGCTCGTTTTCGAACACTCACACCAGTATC